CACAAGTGAAAAAAGAGAACTATTGTCAAAAACAGGGAGACAAATAATCTGCTCTACCCTGGGGAGAAGTCTAAGAGGCAGACAGCGAGAGGCACAAATAAGAGAATATTTAATTCGCAAAAAAGGGAGAGAACTTCCAGTCGAAAGAGCATAGCTGATTGACCAACACGACACAGAGAAGATATCGAACGGTAGGTGGATACGGTTCGACCGAGAGTCGGCAGATCGAAATCGTAGGCACCTGTTAGTGAGGCATTCGAGATGCTAAGTCGTCGCGACCTCTGCATTTACAGACCTAGCACCTCCATCCACGAAGGGTCCTCAGTGAGGTTGAACCCGACCTTCCCTTGGCTTTTAAAGGAGGAATTCACGATTAGAATGAAGGTCGAAGAAGGAGAAATTCACCTAGTTGAGGGACCCACGGACCTCCTGAGGGTGCGAACTGACGCGCAATTGGCATCGAAAATTTGACCTCGGCGACCTAGCAAGGCTCAATCTTGGCGCGGTTGGCCGGTGCACGCCCACCGATCATCTGATCGCCGCAGGTATACGTGGCGAGTGATTAGATAGCAGAGAGAGCGTAGTGTTGAAGAGGGCACAGCGATGAGAGTCGCATCAATGCTCAAATCAACGGGCAAGGAAGGGGTCCCATTTCTCGGGTTCTGGGCCGTTTCTCATGGTTTTTCCTTCTTTCGTGTACCATCCCTTAATTTGAAATGGGTTGCCTTTCCAGCGTGAATTCGTCCTTAAGCCTGAATTCGTCCTTTAAGATCATTAGAAAAGAGAAGGAACAAAAGAGATTGAAAGTTGAGCGTGTAGTTGACAAGAACGCAGTGTCACTTGAGCAGTGCGCGTTTTAATCACTACCACTCAATCCTCCAAGTCCCGTACTTCACTAGAAAATAGATATAAACGAAGCGCGCTTACCGCCACAGCCTTCACGGTATCTGGCCACTTATAGTGCTTATTAGCTCCGTTCAGTATAGAACTGACGAATGGCAAAAAAAAGGAATAGGGGAAGGAGGAGTTCCATTTTGCACTAGTACATCGTAACTTTGTGCAAGAACCACACTACTTGATCTATAGCATGCCTTTAATTATTGCTAACATGAAAAGGTTATTTTCCCAACTCAAGCTTAATTTCTAATTTTCTTTTCAATTTTCAAAGTTAGAAATTCAAAAAAATTCGTTTAGTCTAGATTACGCACACGCTTTATAATAGAGACTGAACAGTAGAATGCTCTAATATGTATAGCCTTCCTCCTTCCATCAAAATTTTGCTGCTTGTTTCAGGTGGGTCATGATCTGATTGGATCGATAGCAGCTACGGTAGCATGTATGGCTGGAATCTGTCTCCTATTCGTGAACAGTCGCTTGGGTGTGGTTATAATCACCTACACCGATCACATCAATTTGTTTCTGTAAGTCTCACTTCGATACCGTCGAAATGTTTTTGTTTGTCGGTCGTTAACGGGTCTATAATTTTACTAGTACATGACGACGGCAACCGAGCCATAGCCAGAGGCTGGCTGGGGCTGCGGCTAACCCCCTTCCCCGGCCGGTGGTATACCAGCATATGGTACGACTTATCTCTGGCTACGGAGTATGCAGCTGCAATTCTTTCTGGACACAGAAATGCGTTAGAAAAAGCGGAGTACGTTAGAAAACTTTGTCAAAAAAATGGTGCCTGGGTTGAAATTCGCGCGAATAAATTAAGTCCCTTTGATGGCGAGACAATTTTTCTCGTGTTCATCTCGTGGAACCGCAACCTTTTTTCAATTGTTAAGGATGCCTCCTGATGCTGGAGCACATAAACACATATACAGGGGGGAGGCGGCAAAAAAGTAACTTAGCCCGTGGTTCAAATCAGCGAACTCTTCGCCGCAAAGAATGTAGCCGTTGATAAAAATTTTACTTTAAATTTTTAATTAGATGTCCCTTTATAAGCAGAAGCGGGTCCCGCAGAAGCAGGCCTTCTCCACCTTCCTCACCATTCCAAAATATGACGTTGTTGTGACGTCATCTGCTATCGCCTTCGAGCTCAAGGAGGCCTACTGTAATCGCTCCAGTCTGAAGCTGTTGTACAATTTCTTCAATCAATTAACTGTGGAATAGCTTTCTAGAGACTACAGCTTTGCCTATGCAAGACCCCTTCCGACCAGCGTTTCATATGTCGTCATAATGGTCTACTATCCGTCGAAGAGGGCGGAGGTGGCGTAGTG